ATTAAATTTCGAGCTCCATCGGACTCTTGGCGAACACAATTTGCAATTATTCTTTCACTTATTGATGATAGTGATGATCGAATCATTCATTCATTTGAGCAAATCACGTACTTATCATGGAAGAATTGTTACACAAAATTTCAAATTTATCTTCTTTATTCTACTCGATCAAAACATTTAACTACAAACTATTCAATACACATTGACATTTATGACATAAAAAAATTAACTCATCGGGGAAGTTTATTATTACCGATTCTTTTCCCATTTTTACCTGTTCATCGTCTTGCATTCATTGTTAATATTCCTCGAACTATTAATACTGAAAATCAAATTTGTGCAAAACAATCATGTATTCATGGGGAATGTGTCAAATATGCAAATATTCCAGAGAAATCTTTTTGTCGATGTCACGAAAGATGGTCTGGACGATATTGTAATATACAGCATACCTGTATGTGTTCGTTTGGTTCATTATGTATTGGAATTACAGCTAATAATCAATCAATATGTGTTTGCCCATTAAATAAATTTGGTCCTCGATGTCTTCTTACCGATACAATATGTCAAATTAATCTTGAAAATAAATGTCAAAATGGTGGTGAATGTATTGCAATTAATCGTCATATAATCTTCAACAAAGAATTTGTATGTGTCTGTCCAACAGGCTATAGCGGAAAGCAATGTCAAATAGCTGATAGTGAACTTAGTTTATCATTTAACAAAGATATTATTCTGCCACAAGAAATATTTTTTCATTTAATTGAAGTCAGTGGAAACGCTACACATAAACGATCAACAACTTTTCGAAAAATTCTAGTTAGCGAAGATTTAATCAGCAGTACTTGGTCCAAACCATTTCATATTGTTTTTATTGAACTTAATAAGACAGAACTTGATAAACAATACTATTTAGTGATGTATCAAAAAACTTATATTCAATCAAAAGTAACTAAGAAAATAATTAATCCATCAGATAATTGTCCACATATAAATGAATTATTTAAAGAAAAATTTAATGGAACATTTTCTCAATGGCATCCTATCCGTCGTATTAAATATTATCATTTACCATGTCAAAATCAATCCTTGAATCTTTCTTGTTTTTATGATACAGATCAGTTTTGCTTATGTTATCAATTCGGTCAAAAACGTTTGGCTAATTGTTTTAATTTTAATCATAGTATGAAATTTGATTGCCAAGGTCAAAGTGAATGTGATCATGGTCAATGTTTTGAAGATGACCCAGAATGTCCAACACGATCAATTTGTATGTGTGATTTATGCTATTTTGGACAACGATGTCATCTAACTACAGATGGATATGGCTTATCGCTTGATGTAATCTTAGGTTATCAAATTTCTCCACATGTTAGCATTAATCATCAGCCATTGATTATAAAAATAAGTTTAGCATTAACCATTATTTTTATTATCACAGGACTTATTAATGGTATTCTTTCTCTAATTACATTTATGAATAAAACTCTATGGCAAGTTGGTTGTGGTTTATATTTACTCACTTCATCAACCACAACTTTATTTATAACAATCATGTTTGGATTAAAAATTTTCATTCTTCTTCTTTCTCATATGGCAATTATATCAAATCGATCATTTTTATCTGGTCAATGTTATTCATTTGATTATATTTTACGAAT